CCCCTTCCCTCATTCCTAAAATTATGGTGATCATCTTGAGCCTTCCTTCTTGGTTTAAAATTGCAAATCCCTCTCTTGTCCAAAGCTCTCCAAAGCTTTGTGAATTTGCTGCTTTCCTTTCCCAGCCCTGGATTTTAAGGGGGGGGGGGAAATGGGGCTCATCTACATTATAAAACTGAAGTGGTCCTCCTCTTCTGAAGGTTTCCAGGGGTACCCAGCTTCTGGGAGGAGAAAGGGATTTGGGACACTCTTTTTAGACAGCGTTGACTGGAGTTGATGAGATCCTTGCAGAAGCAAGAGAAGGTGAAGGAAGAAAAGGTGATGTATGAAGCCATATGTGAAGGTGGTTGAAACAAGGATAATAAGTTCACACAGCCCACATCTCAGCTAGTGAATCACCTCATTTTTCCAGGGACATCTATCTATCCACTATCAACCATAAACTGAGAGCTACGTTCACACAAGCCTGAGCACCTAAAAAGAGGAACTAATCAAAGCTGGGAGCTTTGAGAATACCGTTGTTGGGTTAAATCATGGCAACTGGACCAAAATTTGTTAATCTGAGACTTCATCAGTCAAAATAAAACAAAAAAAATACTTAGGCAGAGTCCTTGGAATGTACTAACCCTTGCCACACCAACTGCAGGGGATTTCCACCCAAAATTGCAATATGTCAATGAAGACTCAAGCATCAGATATCTATCCCTCGGATTGAAAACTTCAGTAAATAACTCTGAGAGTCAGATGGGGCAGTACAGGTTGCTCTTGACTTACAACAGTTCATTTAGTGACCGTTCAAAATTACATCAGCACTGAAAAAAGTGACTTGTGACTATTTTTCACACAACCATTGCAACATCCCCAGGATCACGTGATCAAAATTTGGACGCTTGGCAACTGACTCCTATTTATGACGGTCGCAGTGTCCCGGGGTCATATGATCCCCTTTTGCGACCTTAGGACAAGCAAAGTCAATGGGGGGAGACAGATTTATTTACCAACCATCAACTGCAGTGATTCACTTAACAACTGTGGCAAGAAAGGTCGTAAAATGGGACAAAATTCACTTAACAACTGTCTTGCTTAGCAATAGAAATTCTGGGTTCCGTTGTGGTCATAACTCGAGGATACCTGTATCTAAATTTGATAAATAAATAACTGGACAAACATTTGAGTAAAAGAAGACGGAGAGATCATTTTCTGAAGGATTCGAAATACAAATAAGCCCAACTTTTGCAAAATGCAAACGATAACAATGACCCCAGCTGCGTTGAGTAACAAACGATCACTGCATTCTTTCTCACGTCTTATTTTGAAAGGCAGTGTCAATGAAGGAGGCACTCCAGATGACTTTTCCCCCCCTTTTTTAAAAAAAATTAAGCTTTAGGGATTAATAAGGGATTTCATCAACTGCCTTTTAGGCCAACATTAAGAAAACTGCAGCTTTTCAATGGAGCATTCAGGGTTCCAGTGAGGAGGGAGAGTCCTGGGAATTGGGAAGCAAAGAATTATCCTCCTGCTGAATAGCTGTGAAGTTTGGGGTAAGTCCTGTTTTAAAAGTCACCATTAAAAATGCTCCTCTCTTTAGGGCCCATTGAAAAGTCTGCCGGTTTTGTCTAAATGGGATTCAAATGAAGGATTTTACATTTTCAGGAAAGTACCTGCCATCGGCTGTCAAAACATCACTCATGTTTTTCTGTTAAGAAACGCAGGCAACTTATCTGCCCCCCCTCACAATTATTATGTTGGGGTGTGGGGGGGGGGAGAAATTGACTTTAGCAAGTGGGGGTTGCATTTGCAAGAGAAAAGGGCTGGCATAAAAGAGTAATTATGCCAGGGAGCATCAGAAAGTGTGCTTTGTCTGTTATTCCAACGCCAAGGGATTTATTGTCGCTGGCGGAAGGCCAGATTTCGTGGAAATTAGGTGCCGTTGAAGGTTGAGGTTGCCCTGTCAAATTTGCCCTGTACCGTTAGTGTCTAAAAGCACAGCAGAAGAAAAGACTTCTTCCACCCCAACATATTTCTGTGACCAGAGGAACAGATAAGGAAGCTTCAAATTCAAGTTGCAGAACTATGAAAAGTTTTCTCAGTGGCTTTTGCGGTCAAGTCTCCCAAAATGCTGTCCTCCAGACATTTTAAACAATTATGATCATGCCCTGATCAGACATATTATTAGAATTGTTTTGTCTTAGATATCCTGGAATATGAAGCTCTATACATAGAGAAGATCAAATTTTGGATGTAGTATAAATCCATGAGTTAAGGTTTAAATTAGGAATGGATTTCAAGTTGAATTCTGGATTAGATGTTCTATCTATCTATCTATCTATCTATCTATCTATCTATCTATCTATCTATCTATCTATCTATCTATCTATCTATCTATCTTGCCACCAATCTCCTTAATGAGGTGACTCTGAGAGACAGAAAAGTAAAAAAAAACTAGAACCTTTAAGAACTTCTTCCTGGTCTCACCAGAAAACTCAAGATATGGTTCTGCTCCCTAATCCCAAAAATGTGGCTGCAAAATGCCGTCATGTGTTTAACCATGGTTCACCAGAAACATCAGACTTTATGGTATGTTTCATGGGTTCTTCCTGTTGGTAATTATTGAATGGGCTATGCTAGCATTAGTACTCTAGCTACCACAGGGGTGTCTTTGGAGTATGGTCGTATAAATCAAGAGGGCAATCACAAAAGTCTAATGAAGTTCTGCCTGCTTTTATGTGTGTCATCACCATCTTGACTTGGTTGACCATGCCCTGGTCTGTGTAGACCCAGAAAGTTTACTGGATAATCCATGCCTGCTACTGTAGAAGCTGGTGCTTTGCTGAGACAGCATCTAATTTCATTGTTTTAATTCAGAACATCTTCAGAACAGAACACCATGGAATGGGACCGAACAATGCAGGGGACGGACTTTGGACCAGGAAATTGATGGGCATATTTCTGCTTCCCGGCAGCACAAAATTTGGATCTAACTTTTTTCTCTGAAGACTCCCTAGAAAACTGTTCCAGCACAACATTCAGTGGAAGAAACTCTTCAGAAAACTCTGTTGCCTGAGGTTGATTTGAAGCCTCCAAGCAAACACTTTTTCTCTGCATTTGCTTCCAAATTATGAAAGACTTGTGGCATTGACCCCTTTCTCTTTCTACAATCACCAGAGTGAGATCTTCCTTTTCAGCAAATCTTCTGAACTAAATTTCTATGGATGTTCTCCCATCATCCAGGTCACGGTTGTCCCCAAGGTACTTTCTTCTGATTTTTTTTTCTTTTTTCTTTGAAAACATTTTGCTTTTCATCCTTCTCAGTTCTGAAGAAGCTTCTTGGATGAGAAGCAAAATGTTCTCAAAGAAAAATACCCCAGCTGCCTTTTGGGTAGGGAAAAAAAAAAAAGCACCTTTGAGTTCTGAGCTAAATCGACAACATTCCTAGATGCACGTCTATCCTGATTTTTATCGTTAGGCTCAGGTCCCTTAAGGGCAGTCTGATGGGGGCATCGCTTGAAATAATAAACAAACAAACCTACAGTTTGCGCCTTCCCGTGATGGGAGAAGCAGAGAAGCGGGAGAGAAAACGACTTACATCTGGTTTACATTGCAACCTTCCTGCCCCCCCAGCTACAGACCCAATCAGTGCCATGGGAAAGAGCAAGCGGAGAGACCATCCCCATCCTGTACACCTTTTTCTAAGCAAGAAAATAAAAAGGAAGGGCAGGGAGGTGGGGGTGGGGGTGGAGAGACAACTGAATGAAAGGACATGCTAGTTGCGCGTGTGTGTGTGTGTGTGTGTGTGTGTGTGTGTGTGTGTGTGTGTGTGTTCTGGAGAATTTTCCCTCTCCTCTTAAGGATGGAAGACCTGTGGAGCCAGGAGGCCTCTTTCTCAACCCTCTCCAGCCTCTGCATCCTTTGGTGCTTCCTCTCCCAGGCGGGGCTCAGCCAGCAGAATCTGCTTTTACTCTGGCAGGGCTCTATTCAGCCCCGAAGAATGGGAGAACAAAGGAACAGGGGAAACTGCACGGTCTCCGAGCTCCATTCAAGAGGCCATCTGCTCCTGCCAAGACAGGGGAGAGGGGGGGAGCCGAGGAGAAGATCCCAGGTTCAGGCTTAATGGGGCTATTTAGCAAGGGACACTGACCCCTCCCATCCCCCCACCCCCCAGGCAACACAGCAACCCAATTGTTAAAAAAAAAATTAAGTTTCAAGCACTTGCCTCTCTTTGAAAAAACAGGCCATGGAGAGGAAGATAACCTGTCCCCACCCAGCCTGCTATGGGCATCCAAGTGCCCTTGCGGGAAAAAAAAAAAAATGTTATCTGGCATTTTTCCCAACCTGTTTTTTTTTTTCCCCCTTCATTCGGCTGGGTGAAAGAGAACTTGCCTTAGAAATTGATTTCCAGAAAGAAATCATTTTGATCAAGTTCTCCAGTGAGTGAGATGCAGGGATGGTGCAGTTACTGGCTGTAGGAGAGGAGCAGGCAGAGGTGGTGGGGATGGAGGGGTGGAGTTAAGAGAGTCATCAGCCTAGAGTCCTTACATTCCCACAAGTAGTCTAAGTTCAACCTCTCCTGAATTCCGTTGAACCTTATCTGGTACCAATTTAGTACTGAATCTTAGTTGTCTAGATTCTTGTCTATAGGCTTGAGCAATAAATCTTCTTAACTGCAACTTAATCTGTGCCCTTGATTCTTTGTTCTTGAACCAATTGCCAAGGGCCTGAATTTTGATGACGTGACTGTGGGCATGCTTCAATGATCATTAAGTGTGGAAATCACTTTGTCATAATTCACTTTTTTCCAGTACCATTGTACCTTTGAACGGTCACTAAATGAATGGTTGTAAGTCGAGGACTAGCTGTACAACATCTCAAGAAATTGGAGGGACATTCTCAAGCCCGCTGGAAACCAGCCAAACCAGAATTGGTTTTGACAGGGGCAGAAACCTTGTCAGTCCAAAGTGGACATATGAATACACATGGTTTGGGAAGGAAAGACCACTTACTGGCTGCCTGAATCCGAGCTTTCCGGCTCACCAACAAACCGAAGTGGTTCCGTGCCACACAGCCATATTCCCCTTCGTCGGAAGTGCCGTCCTCCTTCTGCTTCCAGAAGTGGGAGAAGTAGAGGGAGCCGTTGGCCAGCGTCAAGGGCTCTTCGCCCTCGGCCACCAGCATCCCGTTCTTCCGCCACGTGATGCTAATGGGTTGAATCCCTTCCACTTGGCAATCCAAGACCAGGGGTTGCTCCTGCACCGCAATTTGGTCACTGGGCTCTACGGTGAATGCCAGTTCAGTGGAGAAGCCGAAATCTGGAATGAAAAAGAGAAGAGAAGAGGTTGTCCTTGAAAGCCCACAGGAGGAAAGAGAAACAATGCAGGGAGCTGCAGTGTTTACGCTGGGGAAAACGTGCTAAGGAGCTCCTGCTTAGAAAAGGGGAGCTCAAACAAACAATCCAGTGGCTCCCTAAGGATCTTAAGTCTTAAACTGTCGGATTCTAAAAAGAAAACATGTTTCTAACCCTCGGCATCGCCAAGAAAAATAAAATCACTTTGCAAAATGTCCTCAGCTTATGACTGGTTGCTTAGCAACCGTTCAATATTCTGATAGACCTACCTGGGGGTACTTATGACCCCAACTTGACGTTTTGATGTTCATTTCCCCCCCCCCAGTGTCCTGGGGTCATGTGATCCCTTTTTGCGACTTTCTGGCCAGCAAAGTCAACGGGGGAGACAGATTCACTTAACAACCAGGTTACTAACTTAACAACTGCAGCAATTCACTTAACAACTATGGTAAGAAAAGTTGTAAAGTGGGCCAAAACTCACGTAAAAAATGTCTCCCTTAGCAACAGAAATATTGGGCTCAGTTGTGGTCTTAACTTGAGGATTGGGACGCACTGGACACGACTCGCTCTTGAGCTTCAGGAGTAACATAATGGAAGGATGGGTTTGAGGAACCCCAATGTGGCACCATCTGGTCTGGTTTGTTATCTGCCCTTGGGGGCACTAGAATTGGCATTTGGGGGATCCTTGCTCCACCTTCTCCTTGCTCTTCTCCAAGGAGGGGACAAGGCTGGGGATTTCTGGGAGGTGATATCCACACATCTTCAAGTGGCCAAGGTTGAGAAGCACTACTCTAGAACCTACATGTGCAACTTAGATTGGTCATAGGTAGATGGTAGAACGATGATGATGATGTTGGAGGAAGACTGATCCAGGTTCAAGTCCACCAGAACTACAATTCAACTGGTGACTGGAGTCAGCGACTGTCTCTCAGTCCAACCCAGGGGTAGGCAACCTTGGCTCTTTTATGACTCGTGGACTTCAACTCCCAGAATTCCTGGAGAAAGCCATGCTAAGAAGACTCCTCTGAACTCTTGATGGGAGGGCAGGCCAGAAATTCAACCAGTCAGTCTCACAAACAATTAAGCAGCCAGTCAAAAAGTAGGGTTCTATCAACCCATCAAGAGAATGCTCTGGGCTCAATTATTTTTTTTGTCTTATCGGATTCCAGATCTTAACAATTCAGATTGTTTGACATTCAAAATTGTAGGAAGAGGAATGTTAGAGACAGCATTCCCGGGCAGGCAACCCTGCAGCCCTTTGGCCTTTGACCTCGCCCTCGGTGGGGTGAGAAAGTCACTTTTGAAAGGCAGAAGAATGGCTATGTTAGAGGCCAACTCAGACCCGGTAGAATATGCTTGAAACACCAAAAAGAGGCAAGCTGGAATGAGAAACGTGGATTCTTTTTCTGTTTTTTTTTTTTTTTTAAAGCTGAAATTCTCCTCAAAGAACCAAAAGGCAGCTGCAGGTCAAGGAAAACCACCAGAACCACAAAAAAGAAATGAAACTGAACTGGATCCACTTCCTCTTTTAACAAATGGAAACAGGTAAATGAAATGATTAATTGAGAATTGCCACTCGTTTCCTAATAAGTCACTTATTGGCTGGATATTACTTAAACTGCTGCCTGAAGGGAAAACATCTCAGATTGGCAAAGATGATACCCTTTCAGATCAAAATGGGCCCCTGCATACATTGCAATGTTGAAAGGATGACATGTCATGCCTACACGCATTTACCTAGTAACAAGTTCAATGTTCAGCCAGGCGTAATACCCAGGCTTGCGGCCCTTGGCATTTCTTAAATATTTGGGCGTTTCTTCACCAATCAGTTAGGTGCATATTTTCTCATCACCAACTGGTCTTTGTTAAGCGAATTGTTGTACAGGTAGTCCTCGAATTACAACCACAATTGAACCCAAAATTTCCGTTGCAAAGCAAGACAGTTGTTAAATGGGTTTTTGCCTCATTTTATTACCTTCCTTACAACAGTTGGTGGTTTACAACATCATGTCAAAAATAAAAAAATTGACAGCTATGTGCCTCTTCATTTCAACTTGCCATTAGGGTAAGGGGGGCAGGGGAGGTAATGCTTTAGAATGGGTTAGATCAGCGGTTCTCAACGTTTGTGTGACGGCGATCCCCGTCACACAAACGTTATGCGCATGCGCGGCACGCCGTGCATGGGGGTGGGGCCCCCGCACGCGGCGCGCATGCGTGGTGCCCCCCCGCGTGGCGCGCATGGGGGCGGGCCCCCGCACGCGGCGCACACGCGCGGCGGTGCCCGCACGCATGGCGCGCATGCGCGGTGCCGCCCCCGAGGCGCGCCGCCGCCCCACACGCGGCGCGCATGCATGGCGCCGCCCCCCACGCGCGGCGCGCATGCGCAGCACCGCCCCCCGGAGGCGCGCCGCGCCCCCGGAGGCGACAAAATGGCGGATCGCCACGTTTGGCGACCCCACAAAAGAGGTCGATCGACCCCAAATGGGGTCGCGACCCATAGGTTGAGAACTGCTGGGTTAGATGGAAAAACAAAACCTCTATAATTCCGCTGATGACCATGAGAGCCTGAAATGCTTCCAAGGACACTGCAGCAGGTGTGGAGAGGAAGCAGACAGTTCCCATAACAAAGTGAAATTGTTTCAATGGACTATGCGAGAGGTTGGAAGTTTGGCTGGAAAAACTATTGTTTAATCTTATGAACTGGTGTCTGGAAATCTCAGACTTAGTTTTGCTTCAACTTTACCATGCTGTGTATTCAATAAGAGTTTGCCTGCAATACTGCATTTTAACCACACAGAGAGACTTAATATTTAAGATACTTAGGAGGAGGGCCTGCAGACTGGAAAGCACTACAGCTCCAGTCATAGCCACGAATAAAATGTTAAATTAAATGCTAAACTGGAACATCTGTCAGCCCTTTAAAGTAGGTTAAGTCATGAAACAGGAGTACCATGGATTCTTTAGAGAGTGTTAACAGAATTTTGAAAGTCTGACAAGAGTTTCTCTTACTCCATCTTTATTCCAAATGAAATCAAAATGAGGTGGGAGGAAGACACATAAACCAACCCACCAACCCGGAGGATGGCGGAAAATTTGTTTCAGGATGTAACAAGTAAAGACAAAGCCGCAACTGGATTTTCACAAAAAAACATCCCTCTTAATAGTTCTCAGATGCTTCAGAGCTAAACCCAAAGCCTTTTCATGTGTCAGCCCTCCAGATAAAATAGCTGCAAGGAAGAAAGGTGGAAATGGGCCTCTCTTTTTTGGGATAAATAAATAAATACATACATATATGCATACATCCATTGTCTTAAGATTTTCCCCCTCAGCTCTGACAATAAATAAATAAATAAACAATGTCTACGATTTTTTTCCCCTCAGCTCTGACAATAAATAAACAAACAAATAAAAGAATGCCTAAGATTTTTCCCCTCAGCTCTGACACTAAATAAATAAACAATGTCTAAGATTTTTCCCCTCAGCTGACAATAAATAAATAAAAAAATGCCTAAGATTTTTTTCCCCTCAGCTCTGACAATAAATAAATAAATAAATAAACAATGTCTAAGATTTTTTCCTCAGCTCTGACAACAAACAAACAAACAAACAAACAAACAAATGCCTAAGATTTCCCCCCCTCAGCTCTGACTTTTCCATTTGCAAAGTCACAGAGGGCTTGACAGAAATGGCACAAAGGGAGGTTTTATCGTAGGAAAACTATTCCCTGCTACCGTAAAAAGACCCTCACCCTCGGATTCCCCTTATCTGACCCATCTACAGCACGATTTGGAATCTCAAGAGAGGTGAATTTGTATTTTTAGGCTTCGGGCTCAGCCCCTCTTATCTTGGCACCATCTGGATGAGACACAACTCAGCTCCCCATCCCTGCCAACCCAGCTCAGCGTAAATAGCTAAACTTGATGGCTTCTTAAGAGAATTAGCTGACAGGATGGAGTCGCTCAGGGTCAACATCCGGACTTGGAGACATTGCACTTTTCTACGAAGGCTGGTGGCAGATGTGCAAGTCGTAGATAAATCTTAGCTTGCTTTCTGACTTTCAAGAGTTTAACAAGGGAAGAGTGGAGAAAGATAGTTCTTCTCCAAATTATTCTGCTAACTGAAGAAACCTTCACAAGGGAGTGCAGGTGGTCCTCAACTTATGACCACAACTAAGCCCAAAACTTCTGTTGCTAAGCGAGATAATTTTCAGTGAGTTTCGCCCCAGTTTATTGTTGTTAAGTGAATCACTGCAGTTCTTAAGTTAGTAACCCGGTCATTAAGTGAATCTGGCTTCCCCATTGACTTTGCTCGTCAGAAGCTTGCAAAAGGAGAGTGCATGATCTTGGGACACTGCAACCGTCATAAATATGAGTCAGTCGCCAAGTGTCTGAATTTTGATCACGTGACCCTTCTGCCTGGCGAAGTCAATGGGGGAAGCCAGATTCACTTAACAACTGTGTTACTAACTTAACAATTGCAATGATTCACTTAACAACTGTGGCAATAGGGCAAAACTCACTTAAGAAATGTCTCATTTAGCACTCAATTGTGCTGGTAAGTCGCGGAATACCTGTGATAGATGGATGGATAGATAGATAGATAGATAGATAGATAGATAGATAGATAGATAGATGAGAGAGAGAGAGATCTGAAGGACAATAGGTTGGAGAAGCTCATTGCAGAGACAATGGGTCCTGGGTGGGCTGGAGAAATCTGCAAAGGCTGCATGAATGTGTAAATAACTGGTCAAAATTCCCGGAGAACTGGCTGAACTCTTGACCCATTCTCATCGGCATTCATTCAAGAGCTGGTTGCACCCTAGTAAACCAATCTCCTCTTTGCTCCACTGTTTAGATTAGAAATGAGAGCGGATCCAATCTTGGCCCTTTTAAACTCTGCCCAGAAGGCCAGCTTGAATTTCATACATCATGTCAACATATTTTTTTTTTTAAATCGGTGAAACGA